TCATAATCGGAGGAAATATAAGAATCAGGTTTATTTTATTAAAGAATCAAATTTATTTTTAACTGAAAATACAAATAAAATTCGTTGTTTATATATAATATAATATTTAATTTAAATTATCACCGAAGGTAACAAAATGATTTTTCGAAATAAATTGTAACTTGTATAATGTCATTAACGATTAGAATTTGTATAGTTCAATGTCATTAACAAGAAAAGAAAAACAATTTAAAATTTGAATGTCATTACCAAAACAAAAAAAACAAATAGTTTAAAGGAGATTAAAAAAAAACAATTACAACTACTTAACAAATCCCCTTAAAAATGAACCCTTAAAATATAATCCCCTCAAAAACTAATCCTTGAAATAAAATCTTTTTAAAAATAAACGCTTAAACTAAAATCCCCTAAAAAACTAACCCTTAAAAAATCTTCCCAAAAATAACAGCCAATCAAAGAAATGCAGGATTTCTGGAAATTCTTTTATTTATTAATTTGTATAGATATTGGTGGTGGAGGTCTGCAAAGCCCATCCCAGTTATCAGCCACTCTCCCATATTAAAAATAGTTTTTTATTTTGGTGTTTAACAACAAATAAGATTTTATGAGATTTCGAATCTCACAATCAAAATCCCAATGGTGGGTTGTGAGACTTTTATATGCCCCTGTTTTGAAGTAGCCATAAATCTAAAGTAAAAATTTCCATGACATGAATTTAAAATTATTAATATTATAATATGGATAATGGTAAAAACCTAACTATTTAATTATATTCTATGTTTTAGGATAATATTTTAATAATGCTTTGCAAGAGATATATTGTTTTATTTCAAGAGCTCATCTTTATTTTTTTAAGATTATTAACCCTCTATTGCGCGACATATCAATAAATGATATAATTTTTTAAAAAAACTTATTTGTCTTTAAAAGGCTTTTAATAAACTAAAAATAATTTATTTTTTTTTAAATTTTTAAACCGTAAAAAAAATTGTAAAAAGTATCATATTTTTTATTTCAAACCTATTACATAATAAAGACATATAATTTTATTATTTTATAAATAATGTAATAAAACAAATTTATATTAATTTTCGTGAAATAATTTAAATAAATCGTTTTTTATAGTAAAACATAATTATACACCATATTTAGTACAAATCACTTTCGTAGCTACATCCAGGTTTTTCACCGCGCCATTTTACTATATTTTGGTTAATGTGCTATTAAATCCTGTCTTATTTCTTTCTGCGTAATAAGACTTGTCGGCCCCTTGTTAGATAATTTTAAATATTCGGTGTCAATTGATATTCGTTTTTTACGCTAGCGTTCATATTATTGTTAAATTTACAGAGTATCTGCTATTTAAATTTTAATAATGGCATCTGTTCTTTTACCGGTACCTTTAAAGCTATAAAATCTCGCCGATATATTAACCAAGATTTATGCGCATCATATCAAGTATATGGAATACTATTCGGTGATACCATTTACGTAGTGCTGTAAACATTTTTAAAAAAATCGAACGCGTTCATCGTTCATTGACAAAAATCGAACGCGTTCACGTTCAAATTCAAAAAAAGGAACGCGTTCAAGTTCATGAACGCGTTCATGCGTTCAAAATTTTATGATAAATTTTTTTTAAAATTTAATTTAATATAAATAAATGCATATTTTTCAACACAATATATTAGCCATGATAAAAAATAATAGTTTTATTTTGATAATATAATTATAAATACAATATAATAGAGCGATAAAAAAATAAATTTATAAAAAAATTTTCTTATTAATTTTTAATAATAATTGCTTTTCAAAATTTTCATCTGATAGGCATGAACGCTTGGCAGTTAATACAGCGTTAGCTATACTAAAAACTATTGAATTACCTTTTGATTTTAAAACAGTGAAATATTTATGATATTTGGGCCATGGTAATTCTAATTCATCTAATATTGAATTTTGATTTTTAGAATCTGATGATGAAATATTTATATCCATGCAATTAATAAACTTTAATATTATCTTCTCTAGCAGTAGCACGTTATGGTACGTTAATTGCATGAAAGAGGAAAAAGTAAAAACAGCTGATTAAAAAATATAAGACTCTTTTGTTAAAAAATTGGATTAAATATTAATTTTTCAAATAAATAAAAATATAAGACTTTTTTGTTAAAAAATGCGGATTAATTTTAATTTTTCAAATAAATAAAAATAAAAAGTGTTTTTAAAATTGAACGCGTTCATCAAAGAAAAGGAACGCGTTCACGTTCAAAGTTCGTCAAAAAAAAACGAACTTCGTTACAACATTACATTTACGTGATCTTATGTGAATCCACGCTCCATCTTTTAGAATTCCTTTTCAGTTGGAAACTGGTAATTATAAATTCTATTAGCACTCGCTGTAGCAATACTCTCTTTCGAGTAATACTTGAAGTTCTATACAACAGAACCAATTATCAAAACACAATTTAAAATTGGAATTTAGTGGTTACAATAAATACCGTATAATCAACATCTGCTGATCTTGAATCAAGTTTCTCATCTGATGAGCTGCTAAGATTAGAATTAGAACTATCTTCTCGAATACAGTATATTTTTACTATAGATAGCAAATAAAGAACATTTATTAATATAAAATAAATAAAAAAAAGCCCATTTCATATTGCATTTGTGCGCATTATGTATCTGGGTACACTTATCTTATAATTTAAATTTTAAACACTATTAATGAATATAACAATCTATTTATATATAAAACATTTCTTTTACCTTTAATTAATAGGATTTTAAACTACTTTTTCCTTAAAAATTTGTACAAGAGAAATGGCATAATATAAAATGGAAAAAATGCAACTGTTCGAAAGTTGTAAACTACATATTTTAGAATTTTTATATTGAGAGCTGTCTTTCATTTTTGACAAAATTAACTATAGAAATAATAAAATATGTGTTGTGTATTAAACCGTAAAAAATTTTATATTAAAATTTATTCCTTTTTTATGGTATGTGTATTCAAATATGATGTACACAATAGAGGGTTAAGTCTAATAATGGAGATGTAAAATCAAGAAACATTAAAGTTAAGGATATAATACTTCTCTTTTTAATATATATAAATTTAATTGCATACAATTAAATAGTCGATTAAATTATATACAAATAAAATTTCACTTTAAACGTGTAGTGGATAGTCTTGTTTGTAAAAATTAACATTACCTACCCTGAAAATTTCGGTTCGAATCCATGTACATCAACTGTTTTTTTTATTGTAAATCTGATTGTTTTGCTTTTTTATTTATCTTAACAAAACTTCATTTAATATCTAAAAGCCTGTTGCCGCCTATCTATATTATGTATTTTATATTTTTTGTATGTATTTCATACCAAAAAGTGTCTGGGATATTGTTCTGATCATTGATAAGCTTCAATCAATAATCATGAGTGTTACCTTGGCTATATGAATATTACATATTTATCATTTGTTATAATTGGAATTATATTTTAGGAATATTGAGGAAGGGAACAGATCCTTACTAACATTTTTTTATAAAATAGTATTGTAAAACATGTTTAAGTTAATTAAGTAGATTTAAAACCGAAGACTCCGATCCCATAGCTATCCAGAGGCGCCTTAACTTTTCCTCCTCAGATTTCCTATACAAGGTACATCTTTTCGTTCGAAATTAATATATTAACAAAGCTTCTTCTACATGACAGAAATTTAATAGAGGCAAACCCCTTTTTTCTACCTACTCTCTAAAAATCAGTACCCACCCTCTGTAAACACCGCAACAATAAGATAAATTCTTAATATGGATGGCTTGATCTTAAAATATAATTATATTTAAGTAATGCTTTGTTTATATATAATATTTTAAAGACAATATATACCAGATCTGGCCGGCAACCTTGGTAAAAAATTGGAAACGGCTGAAAATTTTGCCATTTGAAGATTTATAATTGGTGATGAATTTGTGAAATATTTCTAATTATGAATCTTCAAAATATATTGTAGATATTCTATAAAAAATATTATCATCGCTGTACTCTTAATGAAATTATTGCCTTTTCTGCACTCCAAATAATGCCAGGGTTTTTTAAAAAAATGACGGAATTTATTTAAATTAACGAGTCAATTCTCTCAGTATGGTCTATTTGATACATGCTGCATAATACATCTAAAAAGGTTTAAAAATTTAGCCGAAAACTATGAAATGCTTGAAAATAATTTAACACATTAGCGAATAAAGAGTCCAATAAAATTACAGATATGATGATATCAAATGAATAAATCTTGAAAAGCGCATACCTACGACGAAGATGGTTATTACTTGTTCCTGTAATTGAACATTTTTTTTTAAATACCTCCTTGAAAGCGTATTTTTTTTAAATTAAAACATGCGTTAATAATAGTGTTGTTAAACAGTTCGATTTTGAGAACGGATAACCCAATTTTTAGTTAAAAATATTACGCAAGCCTGAAGATTTTGCTCATAGATAGCAGAAAGACTTGGACATCTATTAACTAAATCTCAAGGCTTGTGTAATATTATTTTTGTTAAAATTTTAATTTAAAATCGGCTAAATCGAGCCGTTTAATAACACTAGCCAATAATTTTGAAATTATTTTTTGAAGATTTTCATAAAAGCTCAGACATTTTTTATTAAAGATGTGGTTATTTGAAAAGTGATAAAAAATACTTGATCAAATGAAATAATGATGGGAGATATGATGTACATCATAAGAGCTCAAATTTTCAATTAGTAAGTGTTCTTCTTATGGCAAAGTCGAAGAATTTTAAAAAAATAGCCCAATATCTCTGAACTATTATACAATATATTGAAAAACGGTTAATGACGGTAAATATCATTTTGAATTCCTCAATAGGTCAATAACAATTCAAACCTCCAACTTATAATAACAATTGAACAAGATTGAACCTTACTTTTTTTAAACTTTATCAATCAATATCTATCTATACATATCCTTTTTCTAAAAGTTTTAAGTAAGAAATCACTCCTTCCAACCCTCGATTCGCATACAAGAGTCAAATTACTACGATATGGTTGTTTTAGAGTCATGAGCCCAGATTGTAAGATTGACGAAGAAGGCGGAGAAAAAAACCAAGTTTCCGATGCGGTCACCGTTTATCACAATTTGGAAAACGGGCGAAATTATAGGGAGAAAAATATGCAATACTTTATGATCACTCTCGATGTAAGTATTTGATTTATTATTTACTTTGCTTCAGTGCCTTGGAATTCACTGCATAATCTAAATGCCAGACCTTCGTTAGCTAGCATTCCGTTTACACTTGAATGTTATGAATGAATTATATAAAATTGCGAACTTCGTCTAATTGATATTAGAGGTGGGTATGGGCCTAATTTTTTATTCACGACCCGCCCACTCACGAAGGACAATATTTTGATCACACCCTAGAATTCACGATATTTCAAAATTTTATTATACTTTTACGCTTTTTTGAATTTATTCGATCATAGTTTTTATTTCTCTAATTACATTTTAATAACACAAATTTATAAATCAAAATTTTTACTTAGAAAAAGAAGAATGTCCATGTTTTTTTATTTCAATTATGTTCGCCTTTCCTTTAATAAGCGATTGGCTATAGAAAAATAACCTTACACTAGAAGCAGAACTTGCCAGGGCAAACAAAATTATACTAGTTAATTTTCTCCAAAAAAAGAAATGAATTTTCCTGCTTGTTTTATGAGCGATAAATCTTTTAAGTATACAACTTCATCGGTAGATGTTAAGGCTTCATCCAAATTATAAATTCTCTAATTAAACATTTAGAGAATATACAGTTTTTTATGCAGGATGAATTGGAAAATTTAAAAATGATAGTTGGCATTGTCTTTTGCATATCGTAGAATTTTAAATCATTTAGCATTTTTAAGTTGTATATGTATCCGCCTTTTCATCATCTCTTAAAAACTTAAGACTTTTAAAATTTGGACTTAAAATTAAGCCTATCTTATGTAGTGGCTGCATAATAAATCTTTCCTTTAAAAGAGATATGTCCTGTTTTTTAGAGTTTTGATTATTACTGTACCACCTTCTGAAGGTTGATTAAATTTCATTAATTTTTGTTTCCATAAATAAACTTCATTTATGTGGGATGAGAATCTGCGCTCAGATTATCTGAGCATTCTTTGAGATAAAAAATCATCTAATTGGCATATGATATTTTTATCAATGGTCGCTAATCTATTTTATGTTTGTTAAGCAGATAAATTTATTTTAAGTAACTTTGTATCATGATATATACATAATTCCATCTTTATTATATTTTATTGAAAGTCTTAGCTTGCTGCAGATTCCTCAAAATATTGCACTATCATTTTTATACCATTTATACTTAATGTTAAAGCTATTTCAGGTAAGCAATTACCAAAAATATAATGCATTATGTTATATAATATATGGCCTGAACATGGTATCCTTTCATTATCTTTGAATGCAGTTATATTCCTTACAATTTAAACTGCATCTATTATCTTTTAGATTTATAGCTAAATGTAAGAAAATTTAAACAATAAGTTATTAAGATGTTCAATTTTCCTTTAATTTTGACTGATTATAATTTGAGTGCAAATGATTAGTATAAATTAAAGTTAAATGAAAATAAAACATTTAAATTAAATTTATTACTTTTGCGTATTGCTGATTATTATGAGATTTTCTACTTTCTAGGCATTAGTAATATAGAATTTTTGCACAAATATTTTATAATTTCAAACTATTTTTATTCTTTTTTATTAAAAGACGCTAATGATATTCTTGATGAAACAAAAATAATGCATAATTTTTTAAAGATTTTTTACGCAAAAATATTGATGATTTTTCATATATGAAATAAAATATATACTTGAAAACATTGTACATAAAAATCGATTAACCCCCCCCCCCCAACCCCCTCAACCCAAAGAAAAAAATGATCAACAAAATTATATGTTATAATATTACAATTATCAAATTCAGTTCCTGAACGAGAGTTGTTATACTCTAAATTATTTTTCATTCATTGAAATTTTATAAGACGGGACAAAAATGTTGTATGTGTAATTTTTTTTGTTTTCAAAAATTATTCCTTTTTCAAAAAGAATTAAATTAGCAAATATATCAAAGATTTGCACGGCCCGGCCCGGATTTTTTTTCAAAAATTTTTTACGACCCCGACCCTGCTTTTTTTTAAAAAATTTTTTTTGATTTTTATAGCTAATAATGGGGATTTCATAAGGCCCAGATTTTTTTAATGAAAATTTCAGGCCCGGCCCAGGTATTTTTTTAAAAAAGATTACCGGATATATTAAAAAAAATTAAAATACGGTCCGGACTAGCCCTAAACCCGGGCTTAGGGTCTGGCCTGCAGGTCTCTGAAATATATATTATAATTTATAATTAAAATTGTAAATTTTTATTCATCAAAAAAAATTTTAAAAATTAAAATTTATGTTCACCCCCAATCACCCCCCGACAAAAATGTAAGAAGGCCCTCACGCCTAATAATTTACAATTTATTCACCCTCATGCCGTGACCCATCGTATCACGCGTAATTTCACTGCCCGTGCCCACCTCTAATTGATATTATATTTTCGAATGCTAATGGATAAATTTTGCATTGGGAAATTGATCAGCAATTTGGATGACCCTTTTTTAAATTAATGAAACATGGTATGTGGTTTATTTGTAAAATTTATATAAATCAAAATTTTAAAGCTCTAGCTCAAATGGCCAATACAGTTACCATGGTTTTAAGAATCCTATAAATATTAGGTCCAAATTTATATTAGGGCTGTACCTACATTAAATTTCGGATCGACCCGATATTTTCAAAATCCAATGTTGGTATTTTATAATTGTATATATTATAATAATTAAATATTTTTTATTTTATACACAATTTTCAAATAATAATAAATTAATTAAAGGAACCAAAATTTAAATTATTTGAAATGTTTAAGAAAAATCGAAATATTTTAAAGAAAAAAATAAATGTGATTTTTTTTGTTATATTTTACAATAAAAATATATGTGTCAATATTTTAAATGAGATGATTAGCTTTTAGCCTTATATGGTCAGTTATATTAAAGAAATAAATTATTTGTCAACCACACTTTTTTAAGCTCTTACAGACCAAAGGCAATTATAAAAATATTTTTTCCTTATTTTAACACTGGTTTTTCCTTCCGGTGCGTTAATTTTAATTCACACTGAGCAATTAAGATTAAAAAGGATTTATCTGTTTTATAAACTAATATTTTGTATATAGAATCAATATATATGAAAATTTTTGAAACAATTATTAGATGTAAATAAAAAACCAGTTGTTGCAGCCCATTTAGTAAAATTTTTGCACCAAGGCATACATTCCCCTTCTTTTTATTGAAGGTAGGCCAATGAGCGATTTGATTTTGCCTAATTTCCTTCTCTGGAATTTGTGTGGTGATTCCTTTTTTTCCTCTTTTCCTTATATCTACTTTTGGTAAATAAATATCAATCTAAATTTTGGTTATTAGTTTTATATGCAGCTTTTAAAATTCTTTTTAATAAGATATATATTAATAATTAAAAAATTTAATTTTAGCTATATTTTTATAAAGATAATTTACGGGCTACAAACTTATACACTTGAACTAAATATTTATAGAGTAATTTGATTAAAAACCTAGATCATCGCACTTATATTGTCTTTGAGTCCACAACTCCTGGAAAACTAATATTAATATAATCTGAACTTTATATAACTATCATAAGAAGTTACATTCATTTTCAAGTATGGTGGTCAAATATCTATTTTTGGTCGATTTATATTTTATTATGCGTTTATATTATATTGTGATTATAATATTTGTTTTTTTTATAAAAAAAATTTAGCTCTTACCTGTCATAGAACATTTAATTCAAAATTATCCCAACTTCGTTAAAATTTCATCTTTTCCTTTAATAGACACGCACGAAAAAGTTTTTTATTATAACTATATTTTTCATACCGAATTTAATTTATTAATTTTTTAAAAAAAAACAAATTATATTTTTAGATCGATGTAGCATTGTCATTGTACGAAAAGGGGATATTAATGGTGTCTCCAAAATCGTTAAAAAGAATACAAAAAATGGATTAATATTCTTTTTTTTAAAATAAATTTGATAAAAAATAATTTGTAAAATATATAATTAATAAAATATCAATTAGAATGGTTTGATATATAGAGTCTTTATTTTTATCAATTTAATTATTATAATAAAGATCGAAAATGAAAATATATAAATCAAACATTTTGGAGGTTATTAAAAGTATTTACTTAAATTTTTTGACTTAAAAGGGAGCATTTTTATTTATTATTATTTTTTACTTGACTTTTAATAGAAAAGATTAATGAACGTAAAAGGGAAATTGTGATGTTGGGTTGGTGTTAAATTATTTAATTTAGTTGTAGTAAAATATCGTTTTTTTAAAAAAATTATGTAAATTAGTTGTAGTAAAATATCGAATTTTTAAAATTATTAAATTTAGTTGTGGAAAATATTGTTTTTTTAGTGCTCAGAATTATTGTTTTTTTTGTTTATTATTATGCATTAATTTTAGAAAATATGTATAATATATAGAGAAAAAAGAAATAAAATTATTCTTACGATTTATTTTTTTTGTCTTGCGTTTTTTTTATTGAAAGGAAAAAAGTTGATTTGAAAGAAAAAAGAATATATATAATAAAAGGAAAAAAAAGACGTGGTTTTAAAAGAAAGAAAAATATAAGATAAAGGAAAATAAAACTTGTTACCAGAAATTAATATAAAAGGAGAATCAAAGAGTGTAAACTTTTAAGAGGACAAAGAGAAAACTTATTACAAATATATTTGATATAATATATATGAAAAACCTGCAAAGGTCGAAATTTTAATCCCTGCTAGGATTTAAAATTTATTTATTTCCAACGCTGGAATAACCCGAATTTGATTTTTCCCATTTTCAAGGTCCAGACCAGGATATTTATTTTTTGGTTTAATAAATATTTATATAATTTACGTAATTTAATTTTTTTTAAAATGCCTGAGCCGGTCCTAAAAATATTTTTTAATATACCCGGACCGAGCTAAAAAAAAATTTAGAACCATAGCAAGCAACTTTAAATTATGGATGCCTCTAGGTAGGTTTGGCAAGTTGGTCAATTGACCGGAGGAGTATATGACCTGGTCAAATACTCTAAAATGTTATTGGTGAATAAATATATTGATTTTATTAACTAATATGTATTTAAAGCATGTTTAACAATCTAATTAGGTTACAATTTATATAAAAATATATTTGTCAACAAGGCATCGATTTAATTAAAATATTTTATATTAAAATATAAGATTTTCATGTTAAAATATAAGATTTTCATTTTAAAATAGATTTCATTTTCATATTAAAATTTCATTTTGAAATATAAAAATAAATGAATTTTTCTCATTATTAATTTGTTTGGATCTCAATATATAATTAAATATAATAATTTTGCTAAATCGTTTGAGAAAATATTAATTGCTAATTTATAAGTAAGAATTTATTTGTCCGAGAGAAATTAGCAAATATTATAAATAAAGAAATATTTTGGAAACCTTTCAATTAATAAAGGGGAAATGTAGGAATATATTTTAATATACTATTTTTTTATACATTATGAATTATTATATTCGTCAATTAGATATGATTATAATGACTATATATATTTATGATAATATATATATATATTTATGATTAATATAGTATTGGGTGAAGGTTAACACTACATAACACCCATGGCATCGATTACATAATATAATTATGGTTTTATTGTTATGGTGGAATAAATAAATTGCATATGTGTTTGCAAATATTCTAATCATTATATACGCAACTAATAATTGTAAAAATTTATATTAAATGCAAATCTAACATACCATAATATAATATTTAAATTATTATTTTACATTTATTTTAGGTGTAATTCTTAAAATATCACACCAAGAATGAATACCAATGATATAATAAATAAAATTAAAGGTAATATATACATTTAACCCAAATAGTTTAAAATCAGATATTTGGTCTTTTAATATCATTATTGACGAAAATAAGATAAATATTGGCTATGTGTAATGCATAAATTGTTTATATTATCCTATATTTATAATCATGGTTCATCTTATTTAAGAAGACATAAATGTGATGATAAATCTATGAAAATTGATATTTTGTTTTACACCTGAAAAACAGACATTTATTTATAGATCATTCCTTAACTCTTTGCGCAAAAGATATTAGGCCCTTTTAAATGATAGCTAGGAATGGATTTCTTGAATTCAGCCAGGCTCTAATCGATGTTGGGGCAAAGTATGGTAAAATAGATGCCAAATCATTGATTACACAGCTCACCACTGTATCATACCATCTTAAAGAAAAAGAAAAATTTTGGTTGATACTAATGCCCTAGTAATCAAGAATCGATTTATACCTGCTTCCACTGATATATGGTGCGATGAAAGAATTCTTTTATAACAGTTACCATGCACTATATATCTGATGATTGGAAGCTAGTGAAGAAAAATCTATTTACTGCTAAATTTAATGAGGTGTCAAAGTAGTAAAGTAATTAAGGATGAACTACTAAAGAATTTCCACAATTTTAATTTTAACACAAACGATTTTATAAATATAATATTTGTTACAGACCAAGGTAAAAATATGATAAAAGCATTGGAATTAAATGAAAGATTAAATTGTTGTCATTTATTAAACACAGTTTTGAGAAATTATTTAACAATAAATATTTGGATAGTAATTTTCCATTACTAAAATCAACAATAGATAATACTAAATTAGTGGGGCATTTAAAACAAAGTAATAAATGCCAGCATTTAAAAGCCTTTTATTCTAAATATAATATGCTCGATGTGTTTATTCACAAAATGAAGAAATTATAGTTTATCAAGAACATGGGGAATCGGAAATCCGATTCTTGAGGATCTTGTCAATATTCTTGGAAATTTCCACACTATTATTTAGTTACAGTCGAACTCTTGCACTCTTTTTAATGTGGTAATTTGGTATTATGAACTTTTTGAAGTTTGTAATACCTATCAAAGCGATAAGAGATAAAATTGACATTTTATAATTATAAAATTTGTTTACATAAGTATCATTTTAACTTTCATTTTCTCTGTCCTAATTCAGGCAATTACATATGTTGTCAGGGACAGATAGCAAGATGTCGGTAAACTATATAAAAGACTTAAATGAATTACCATAGATCAGTCAAATTACTACTGTTGTTAAATAAACTCATCGTTTTATGACAAATGGAGCGATGGTAATTCTGATAAAATGTCAATACCAGATGATGAATTTAATAATTACCTAAATATAAAAATAGATGTTTAAGGTGGATAATTTGTTAGGGTGGTGGGTGGCTCATCAAAGCCAATTTTTAATTTTGGCAAAATTGACAAAAGGGGTATTGGCAATTCTTGCTTTAAGCTCAAGCTGTTAGCGGAAATTTTCCACTACTGCGAGAGTTCTTGAAGAAAGAAGTAATCCTCAACCTGAAAAGATGGATATGCTTCTCTTTCTTCATGATAATTTGTAATATTTTAATATCTTTCTTGAGTATAGGGTTTCGTCATTCATGCTGGATTTTTACTTTGCAAACTGTCATATATTTATTGCTTTTGTTTTATTTTACAGTCCTGAAAGTTTTTTTAATCTAACATTTTTCATTTTTTTTATAATATTTAGAGAATTAATATAGATAATTTATAGATGTTTGTTTCAAATTTATTTTCTTTTGTTAAATTTATATCATAAAATAAATTATATTATATTGTGCAAATAGATTATATTCTCAAAATACTATTTACATACATGCATTTTTTTAAATATCAATTTATTTTTATTTTATAAGTAAATACAAAAATATTATTTACATAAATTTTTTTATGGTTTTATTTTGTAATATAATAAATATCTGTTTAGAATAAAAAAAGATAAATGATGTAATATGCCTATTAAATGATAATACTTGCTGAAAAATACGGTAAAATACCGAATAGGTGAATTTTTATATACATCAGGTTGAATATAATTTAATAAAATTCTTGCCGGGTCTAAAAATTTATCCGGACCAGGTCCAAAAATTTTTTTTAGGAAAAATCTGGGCCTGGAAAATTTTTTTTTGAAAAAAACCCGGTCCATGCAAATGTTATCTCTGCATATCTCTGAATTATATAATGATAGTTTTTTATAAAAATAAATCTTAGCCAAAATATTTATGCCTCATCCTGGGAAAATGTCTATGGGCTGCAAAAAGAGTTATAAAAATAAACATTAGTCTTCGCTTTCAAATGGAAGATTATTGATGGTATCACCTTCTTGTATTATAAATAAATAGTCTATAATTTAGGATATTTTTTTCTTCTATTAGCATAAAAAATAATATAAAAGTAGGATAATGATATATAATATATAAACAAAATAAAAATATGCCTATTTCATTTAGAGAAATATAACTCGAGCTTAATTTTATTCGCCAATATTCATAAAAGAATATTCTGAATTTTTCTAGATTCTGGTTGGTTTTAAACTCTGTTACAAAATTTAAACAATGTACAAATAAATTAATTGCACGATTGTTAGAATTAGTTCCTGAAAATTTTAGGATAGGTTCCAATTTTGTTTCCTGTAAATTTTGAAGTGGTTTCCAGATTCTGGTCCCAGTTTCTAGTTTTAACCTGGTAGTAACAATAGATAAGGTAGTCATAATAGGTAGTCATCTCCATAGGTTTAGCAATCATCATAATAGGTAGTCAAATCAATATAGTCATCTCAGTGGATAAAGCAATCGTCACAATAGGTAGTCATATAAATAGAGTCATCTCAATGGATTAAACAATCGTCACAATAGGTAGTCATATAAATAGAGTCATCTCAATGGATTAAACAATCGTCACAATAGGTAGTCAAATCAATAAATAAGGTAGTCATCAATATCAAATTTAATTCAATTTATACTTTTTTATTTTAATTTTAGGCAAATTTTCTATATTTTATTCTTTTTTTTTTTTTACAAAAACGTAACAGGGCGCCATCAAAGAAACAAGAAGTTAACAAGTTATATTTATTCTAAATAAATTTTTTTTTTTTTACCTTTTATAATTTTGTAAATTTGGATAAAA